GAAACCATAACACATTATCTTTCACATGGTTACCAATTCAATATAAATTCTATTAAACTTTTCACTTATATGAAATTTTAATTTATATATTTCATACTAATCTTTATATTGATGATTATTTAAAAACTTCCCAAAAATTATTTTTATACATTTTTAAAATTAAATTATAAGATCAAATGACGATGTAGACTGTAGAATATGTCTACAAAGTAGACTTCTAAGAAGGTCTACAAATGTGTAGACTTCTCTCTATTATGTGTAGACTTGCAAAGGATAGAACCGTAAAATAACTGTCTGTTTTTTTGTTTGGTCACAAGGGTTAAGTAGTAACTTCATAACCCCTTTAGGTTGGTTTTGCGTTTGACTCAATAAGGGGTACACCTTTAGGGTTGAAATGAAATTTTAGGTTGGTTTTGGCAAATCCCCCTTTAGTTATAAGTATTCGGATCTTCAAATTGGATTTGAATTGGAGTCTTTGGGTTCAGGTCTTTCGGGTTCTAGAAATTTGGATCTATATAAGTATCTATAATTTTTCGGATCAGTTTTAGATTGGATTTTGTCGGATCCGTTGGTTTGGATATATTGTTAGGTCGCTTCGGGTATTTATTAGGAACCGAAAATGATTCAAAGAACCCAAATTGGATCAACAAAAACCTAAAAATATCTGAAAACTCAAAAAATGCCTGAAAAACTGCAACAATATCTGAAAATTTATCAAAAATCGAGTCCAAAAATTTCAAAATATCCAGAATTTTACTCCGATACCAAAATTATATTTTTTGAAAATCTACAGTTTTATCTAAAATCTAATATTATTCCCAAAAATCTAAATCTGAAACTTTTAAAAAATATCTGACTTATCAAAAATATACCCAATCATCTAAATATATCTAATATATACAATAATTTGTGAGTACTTCAGATACCCGATCGAGTTTTGAGTAGGATCCGGATCCGAATCAAGACCCGCTGGTCCAAATAAAAAATACCCACTAGATACTTTTGCATGGACCCGAACCTGAACCTGAACATGTATTTTCGGGTCGGTTGTTGTTCGGGTCTTCATGTCTAAGATAAAATGCCCAGTCCTAATTCTGTTGACGAATTTTTAAACTTACAAATATATACTTTTTGTATAGATTTTAAGTCTATTTTATTGTAAATAAATATTAAAATTATTAGGTTTTTAAAGGGTGATTTTCAGTTGGACTTTTAATAGACAACTAGGATAAGATCCGCGTCTTGTGCGGGATGAAGTCGTTATTTTTATTATGTTTTGAAAAATGAAACAATAGTTTGGTTCATTTGGATTAGGGGTGTTCAATCCGGATATCGGGTTTTAGTTTGGTTCAATTTTTTGGTATTTTATTTATTAAAATATAATTACTATTCTAAATCCATATTTACTTGGATTCGATTTGGTTTATATAGCATCGGTTTTCAGTTTTTATTCAGTTTTATACCAAAAAACATAATTATTTAGTTTGAGATCATATTATATTTTATACAAATATATAATATGATCATATTTAGAGTCATATTGTCAAAAAGTCATTTATTAAAAAATATTATATATTTAAATAAAAGAATAAAAGTGCTTCTATTATCTAATAAAATGATGAAATCTGGAATTAATATCATTTAAATTTGAAAATAAAAATAAAAAACAAAACAGAATGAAAGAAAAGTTTTTATATTCTTCCATATGTCTTCATCAAATTAATATATTTTCGATTGAACAAAACTCTGTTTATTTAAAGATAAAAAAAGTTGTAAAGAATTTCAACTAATTGTTGTCCATCAATTTTATAATTATTATTTCGATTTAGTTACTATTAAAATAAAGAAAAAGATAAAAAAATTAAGAAAATAAGAAACCTCACTAAATTGTTAGTTAATTATAGTTCAAGTGATTTAGAAATTGTAATAATAGTTCAACTCATGTAACAAATATATATTCATGTGTTGTTATAACTATATACATATTTATATGTTTCAGTTTAATCGGTTATAAATCAAACCATATCCAAATCCTACATTTTTTTTATAAAATCACATCCATTCAGTTCGTATGGTATATACAAGAAAACATATAATCGATTGTTTAATATATTTTAATAATATAAAATTATAAAAAAGAACTAATATATTTAAATCATTGATAACAAAAATTTTCAATGTAAAAAATTTAATAAGTTTATAATTTATAAATTTTCTTGAAAATTCATTGAAATTTTTGAAATTAAAATATTTATGTAATCTTATATGGTATATAGTTTAATCTCTATATATATATTATTGAATGATACTTTTTACTCATATGGTTTAAAAATCATGTGTATCTATTTATAATAAAAATGTTCAACTATTGATCATTAATTTTTAACATAGTAATGTTAATAGTTTTAGTCACTTATTCTCGTTTTGTAAAATTCAAAATTTAATATATACGAAAAAAATCTAAAGTTTAATTTTATAACTAATTTGATTGTTTAATTTATTTTAATAATATAAAATTAAATAAAAATGATGGAGCAGATATAAATTGTTATCAATATTTACTATTAGAATCATTAATTATCATATATATATTAGTCATTTATGGTAATTCCGTAGGTTTTATTTAAGGAAAGAAATAAAATATTAATTATATCTAGCGGAATAGTCATAAATGCTTTTATCCTAAATATCATATCATATCATCATATCATATAGTTTGACAAAAGAATATATCTAGCGACATATAAAAATCGAATGTGGACCTACTTATTTTTCAATTGAATGTAATTGACTACTTAATTGAATGACACCTAAGCATGTGATCTTTTTTAATTATTACAAAATTGATGTTACAATTTTTCAAATGTTTATCTTTTAATATATAAGGGATTTTCATTAAAAATAAAAAGAAGTGGAATGATTTGTAATTTTCTTAAAAAATCAGAGGCAAAATCCTAAAAAAGATTCTGCTTTAATAGTATCGATGGTCTATATCTACTTCATAATCAACTAAAGATAAGAACATAGATTCTAACCAGAACATTTCTTCACGCGGTCTTGAAAGGTGCGTACTGCATAGAACACTTTGAGGAAGCATGCTCACTGCCGTGTCATTTGCTTGTACATAATTTTATAACTAGTGATTTTGTTGAGATTCTAGTCCAGATAAAGCAAATGGACTATGTACAAGTGAATGGATAGAAAAGAAACACAACAAGATCATGTTTAATGGGGTTCTTAGGGTGAGATTTTTATATTCCGTTTAAAATCTCACGTGAAAAGCACGATCATCGCATAAGTTTTATGGGAATTTTATTAACTAAAAGAAAAATAAAAAAATTAAATAAAAAAGAGAACAAAAAAAATACTAATTAAAGGCATTTTAGAATGACTCTAAACTCTTTATACCACTTGTCAACATGTAAATAACTAATGCTTTTATTTCACATTTAAATTTAATTAATTAAGTAAAATTAACTAAAATAATAATAAATTTTGGGGAAAATAACCCTCAATTTTTGAAATTAAGCAAAAAAAATCTTCAACTCACAAACACGCCATTTTAACCTTTAACTTCTAGTCACACATGAATAAATCTCATATTTTCGTTGACTAAGCCATTTTAATCTCGTCAAAATTCAACCGTTTAGTTCCGTTAGTTATATTTAACGGTTGACTTTTAATGAACCTAAAATGGCTTGGTAAACAAAAGTATAAGTTTTTTTTTTAATTTTAATTTAAAAGTTGAAGATTAAAATTGTTCATTTAAAAATATCTTAACTAAAAATTGCTATTTTTGTTTTATTTTTTAACAAAAATTCTAGTTTTTCTATATTGATTATAATAACTAACTTGATAAAATATGTTCAAATAAGCTTATATATAATATTTTTAAATGAATTAAAAACAAAAAATGTTTAGTAAAAAAATTTGATTAAAAATATAATTTTACTGTAAATTCAGTTATAAAATAAAATAATTAAGTGCTTATGTTCAAAACAAATTTAAGAATAAAAACATAAAAGTTAAAGGTAAAACCCTATGCACATTGTTGTTAAAAGTATACTCACTTATACTCAATAGAGGATGAAACAAGTGAAAAGAAAGAAGTCAAGTGCGTGAAAGGGATCTCCGGCAGCTGATGTATAGATTTTTTTTTTATTTCATTTTAAATATTATGTCTAAACTCATTTGAACATATTTTATTAAGTTAACGATTACTATCGATATATAAAATTACATTTTTTCTGTCAGAAAAAAAATTAGTTAAGATATTTTTATGCAAGCAATTTTAATCTTCAATTTTTAAATTAGGATAAAAAAATCTCATAATTTCGTTGACCAAACCACTTTAGGCTCATTAATTAAAAGTCAACCGTTAAATATAACTAACAGAACTAAATGGTTGAATTTTGACGAGATTAAAATGGCTTGGTCAACGAAAGTATGAGATTTATTCGTGTTTGACTAGAAGTTAAACGTTAAAATGACTTGTTTGTGAGATGGAGATTTTTTAGCTTATTTTCGAACGTTGAAGGTTATTTTGTCAATTTTCTCATAATTTTTGTTAAAAGTTTGGTTTTAAAAACCCAACCAATGAGGCTGATCTAAGAACCCGACTAAACATGCTCTAAGTCTACTCTCTATATGTGTTCAAAAAGAAAAAAAAGTCTACTCGCTACAATAGTTGTCACAGATTCTCTCTCTCTCTTTCTTATAAAAAATAAACGAAATTTATTAATTAAAGAAAAAAATAAAAAGAATGTGATCATCTAGCTCCTTGGTTCATTTTCAGAGGCTTCTGCATGTTCCATGCGTTGAGGCTCTCAACAGTCACAGGCTGTGACCCATTGTTGAAGACAAACAAATGAGCGTTATCACCTACAGCCTTTGTTGGATACACACGAGACGTTATCACAGTTTTTCCTTTTGCTCCAAAGCTTTCCACGACCGAGTGATCAATCTGCACAGATTGTTAATTAGTGCCATATCCGATTAACTATATCATCTAATATCTTAATTTTCTTATTTACAAACTATTATTCAGAATAAAAATAGATATATTTGTAACTTACCAAACTCCTTAAAGATATCTTTCCGTCGGCGAGATCAACATCGACAAAACCAGCAAACGATGGCTTGTACATCTTCTCCGTGGCGTCAGTGCCGGTGTCTCCTTTGAGAGTTGAACTGTGTATATATATATAAAAAAAAAAGATTAAATGTTAGAAAAAAAAAACAGATTGAAAGCAAGATGGTTTTAAACGTAAAAGTGAGTTTTGTGTGTATAAATATTATAATAGTTTAGTCATAGTATGTGGATTCTGAAAAACGTAAAAACGTGGTGTTCATGTAGTTTCAAGATGAAAATCCCATAATAGCTAAATAAAAAGATTAACAAAAAGCATATAATATAATTAGTGAGTTAATGAAAACATACGGCTTGGCGTCGGAGCACATGAGAACCTTAGGCTTGTTGGTTTTGGCATCTTTGAAGACTCTGAAGAAGACGGGAGTGTATTCTTGTAGGTCAGATGTAGCCAAGGTGATCAGACCAAAAGGTCCAACCCCGCCTGTCACATTTGAACCCTTCATGTTACATAAATCTAGTGGTTTTGTTGCAAACCTCGCGTCAAATGTTTCTGCCTTGTCTAGACTTCCAACGTTGAATGTAACATCCACATCAACCTGTATTTACATTCATATTTTAAATCGAAAATGGTAAACCCTAATCTGTAAATCTTGATAATTTTATAATACTAAGAAAACATAATAGTTACCTGAGTCGGTGTGATTCCTTGGACCTCAAAGCGTTGACCCATCTCCATTTTCTGGTTGTGCATTTGAACATTCTTTCCTCTCAACGACTCAATCTCTTCAATAGGCCAAAACACTAGCTGCTTACCACTAGAGTCAAGCAACACCGTTCTTGGGATAAGCTGAACACCGGCCCAACCCTTCAAGGTATCTTCTACAGCCCTATCAGATTCATTGGCCCAACCCCAAAGGATTCTTCTGTTTTTGGTGTCATCAAAGAATGTCTTTGACGCATAGAAGTTCCCATAGTCTAGTCTCAAACCATCCCAACCATCAGGAGTGGTACCATCGGGCTTGTAATGATCCTTCTTGGTATCGTACTTCCCAAGAGTGTAGTACTCGTACCTAGTCAAGTCCAAGCTAACCTTCAACACATGCTTTATGTTTGGACCTTCGTAGCTGGTGTCTAAACCGGTTTTCTTGTGGGTGGAAACCGGGAAAAAGTCAGGACATTCCCACATACCGGTTCCTTCTCTGGTATGTATAGGATGTCTAGTCTTGACCCATTTCTTGAAGTTACGACTTTTGTACATGTAAGCAATTCCTCTACGGTTTTTCTCTGAGCCCACGAGCATTCTCCAGTACCCATCTCTTTTGTTGAACCAAGCAGTTGTCGGGTCACGGAAGGCGGATCCATTCTCGCCATGGTCGGGTCTTACTATCGGGTTATCGTCGGGCTTAATCCATTTCCTGAGGTTTGGGTCAGAAAGGTCTTGGGGAATGGCATAGTTTTGGATTTGAGTATGGTTCTTGGTGATACCAGTGTAGAGGATAACCGGTCCTTTTCCTGGTACGTTGGTGGCTGAACCGGACCATGTACCGTTGATATCAAACCATTTGGAGGGGTAAATAGCCGGTTCAAGAGCTTCCCAGTTGATCAAGTCCTTAGAAACTGAATGAGCCCACACAATGTTACCCCAAACCGCACCTTTGGGATTGTATTGGTAGAAAAGATGGTAGACTCCCTTGTACACCATTGGACCTGTTTTAAATTAGAATGTCGTCACCTTATAATCATATATTGTTCTTTTTTTTTTGTTATTAGTTTCAAATATATCAAAATGTGATGAACTTACCATTTGGATCTGTTGGAGTCGAGAAGGACAGCAAATAGATAGTTGCAAAAACAACAACAAACCAAAGGAAACCAATGGTTAGAACAACATAATGTTTTGGTTACATTAACGATTAAAAACAACCTTTTTCTTAACGTTCTTATAATATTATTTCTGAAATAAATATAAAGTTTGAATAACTTTTCACAACTTACCGTTAATCCAGTGGCGGGGAGGTTGAAAGTGAAAGCCGGTTCTATGAAGATGGCTAACTACCTCCAACGATGTCGATTTAGATTGCATTTTCTTAATAACTTTGTGAAATGCATTGACGCCATTGATATTATTACTGCTTATATTGATTAATACAAGCAATAGTAACACAAAAACAATCTCTGAAGCACTCATTTGTGCATGAAACTCTATGATCACACCGATTTATTTTGTTTTATTTGAATTGTTAATAAACTTATTATGCGAGAGGGAACTCTGCGATGAAGAGAAATTGATTCTGATGCGATGTTTATTATTATATATGAAAGAGAAAGGAGGCACAAGAGATATTGCTTTGAACTTAATTTGAAGATAATCTTAATGATCCGAAAAATAATATTATTCTCACGTTAAAATTAGAAGTATAGTGTGGCTATGGATATGTTAGCTTTTGTTGTCTTCCTTATCCATTTCTGACAACTGTTTTTTTTTTTTTTTTATGATTTCAAATTAAAAGTCAACTATTTTGGTCAATGATCCCATATATAGTTTTGAGAGTTGACAAAATAAGGCTGATAAGTCAAGTAATGTGCGAAGAAATAAGAAGATAATCCAAAGTACGCATCAGCATCAATAGAAGAAAGGTAAGTCTCTCAAAATAATCAAATTATTAATATTTATTTACTTTTTAGTTTTTATTTATTTTTAAACTTATGGAAACATTCAAAAATTGACATCTGTAGAATAAATATTAATCAAATTATTAATATTTATTTACTTTTTAGTTTTTATTTAGTTTTAAACTTATGGAAACATTCAAAAATTGACATCTGTAGAATAAAGTCTCTGCCCAAAGTTAGTGAGTACTTCCTCTGAAAGATTTTTCTTCCCTCTTTCTTATTTCATTTATTTACTTTAAATGCTGAGAGATTCGTTGCCCATTGCTGCGGATGCATACTATCGTTGTTATTTCCTTTACTTTTGATCCATGCAGTAGTTCCAAGCTGAATTGCATTATTTTCCAGTGTAGATCCTTTCAAATTATTGTTGTAGATACAGGGCCGGCCCAGAGGGCAAGTCACCCAAACGGCTGCTTAGGGCATACAATTTTAGAGGGCATATATTTTTTTAAGTTTTTGTATATATTAATAATTTTGTTTGTACTTATATGTAAATATAATTTAGAGTTCTATTGATAATAATACTATTTGTAAGAGTTTTATCTTTGGTTATAAAACTTTTATTAATAAACATATTCAATAAATGTTTTGTTAAATGATAATTATTTTTTAAATATAAAATTTTATACTAAAAAAATATTTTATTAAATTTATTATTTGACAACACTGAATGTTTAAGATAACATTGACTGATATTGCCATGCAGTTAACTTGCTATTATGTTTACCAATCATTATCAGAATTGAATTTGCTTATAATTTTAGTGTTATTTCTATTATAAATTGATATTATATAAAACATAGTAAGACATGTTGATATTAGATAAATTGGTTTATGGTTTCAAACATTCCTAGCTTAGATAAGTTGGATTGTGTCTTTAGTTTATTTTTTTATATTTTTTTTGCATTTTATGTGAATTTTTGTTATTTAAAACAAAACAAAAACTTAATTTTTCTAAAAGGAAAATTTCCACAAATCGACGATTATTCATGTACTCAGAACATATAATTCACAGACATATATTCTTACATGCAGTGTCAGAAAATAGTCATTTTTTATCGTTCACATGGACGCAGAATTACCGATTTGGTTTACAAATTCTTCTGAATCTGTTGTCGTTTGATGATGAAAAAAATAAAACTCAAAAATACATAACATGCAAATCTCTTTTCACAAAATTTTTGCTTGGGGCATCCGAAAATGTTAGACCGGCGCTGTGTAAATAGTGGACAATCGGTAAATATGTTTCTTAAAAATTCATATTTTCAGTTACAAGCAAAACTACGAACGAGCCATGCAATTTCAGTTAACAATTGCAAAAAGTGAAAAGAACATTAACAAACCAAGAAAATCAAATCATTCAGTTTGAATGACTTTAGGTGTAGAGAAAT